CGCACCCTCTGTTGGCATTCCACACTGTTCCAAATAGTCACTTGGGAGGCTGTCCAATGCAGCTGGTAGATGAGAGGGCAAGGAAGGGGAGAGATGGGCTCTACGCTGTGCCCAGCACTCTCCACCACGGCAACTAGATCTGCTCAGTTGCTGCTTAGCCGAGTAACAATAAAGCTAAACATGCATGCTGCAGAAATGCTGCTTTCTGAATGAATCCCTGTGGAATTATGTCTGAGAATTTTATTAGGCGTGGCTTCCCAGCATGTTTTACCTTTTATTAAATGACAAAGAATGCACCGCGCCCATCTCAGAGACGGCCAACAGCCCAACACCTGCCACCAGCACTAAGTGATTGTCCGGCACTAAGCACACACTGTTCCACTTACTCCTGGCTACAACATTTTAGGGCCATTATTCTTAGTCCCATATTTCAGATCAGGAAGCTGACAGTGCATCGCGGTGACTGGTTTAGGTTAGAGCACTAGAAGAGCTTGGGTCTGGGATTTCAATCTCAATCTCCCTGACCTAAAAGCCTGTTTTTAAAATTCTTTCTTCACATGGCTTTTTGGTCAGTATGTAGTTAGAAAAATTTGAAACTCTGAGACTAGATGGCATCCACAGCAGGTGAATTGAGCAGGAAAAGAAGATACAGAAAGAACATTAAGAAAAAAAATTTTTAAGGGACAAGGAAAAGTAGTAGGTGGTTAAAAAAAGGAGGGTTATGGTCCTGGGGGAGAGAATTTTAGGCAGTCGGGGATCGTTCATCATGCTGGCTCTCTCTCTCTCTCTCTCTCTCTCTCTCTCTCTCTCACACACACACACACACACACTCCGTAGTAGGATGCCATTGAGAAAACAGCCTTGGTGGGCTATTCAGTGATAACGGATGACTGCTAGTGGACCACCATCTGTAGGAGATGCAGACACAGGACAGGTTACGGTCCATGCTACCTGCAAGGGAGATGCAGTGTATGGACTTCAGTAAGAAGAGCGGTGCAAAGAATCAGAGCAATAGGGAAGCACTCAGTGCTGGGTGCTCCGCAGGAGAGGCCGAAGTTTGAATTTGCAAGCATTGCTGTAGGAACAGGAGACAGTTAGGCAAAGCCAGAAGTGGTTTCTGTTATAAAATCTGGTGGTGTTTTAGCTTGGGCTTCTAATTGCCAAAATTAAGGAAATATGTTAGTTTCTCACCACTCAGACACAACACCAGGCACCCACAATGCAAGGAGGAAAGCTTTGACTGGCTCACAGTTTGTAGAATAGTCAGTCCATAGTTGGCTGGCTCCAAGGCAAGGGGGCAGGGCAGAGGGGAAGCAGTCCACAGCATGGTGGTGGGAATGGAGGAAATCACGGGTGGAGGAGGGAGACCACCCCTGCAGGCCATGTCCCCAGCGACCTCCTGCGACCAGGCTCCGCCTCCCGACGTCATACTTCACTGCACTCTCATTCACGCTCACTTCCAGGGACCTTTTCCCTCCTGGCCTCCGTGTTCGAATGAACAGTCACAATAGGAGGGATCTTCTTGGATCATGCTTGATAAAATTCTAATCACATTATAGCTAAGTGATGAAAAACATGGGAAGGCTTGATGCCTGAGCCCTAAAATTAAATAAACAACCTGAGGGAAAGTGTTTTTATATCTCTTTCTATAATGCTGTAATTGTTATGACATACCTGAAGTCTATTTTGGTTAGGAAAAAATAGTCTATTCTGTTCGATAAAATGGGAGGAGAACCTGGTATCATCATGGGGACCAGAGATGGGTGGAGTGGACGTGGTTAAGCCACTGCCTGCCTGAGGGGTGACTGCTGCTCACTGCCGGGAAGTGCTTGGAGAGCACTATTTTCTCAGGTGCTGTTGGCAAATCTCGCAGAAGGAGCGAGGGCAGGAAGCATGGCCCATGTGGTGCCGAGGTGCAGTACTATGCTCTGAGTTTTTGCCGAGGAAATGCAGAGGTGCCTTTGTCTTACATAATGTCCCCTATGTGCTGCTGATGTTTAAGAGTGGCCCTTCTAAAATTTTAATCACTGAACCCTGTCAGTCGTGATTGGTAAAAATTCACCAGAACTATTTTGCAATCAAAATGGTAGGTGACCAATGTGGCAAATGTTAAAATTAAAATTTTATTACAGTAAGAGATACATTCCCACGAATCCCCTTCTAAATACCTTCCTACCTCAGAGACACTTACTCCATTGTTGTTGTTGTCAGCGTGGCTTTCACTGCAGTAAGTCACAAAAATCATTTCAATAACCACTGTAGTTTTTGATCACCTCATACAATGTGGAGGATTTCAGTGAAGAATGAGTATGTTTTTAAAGATATATTTCATGATTATTTGAAAGGTAATTATAAGCCAATATTTATAAATTTATTCATATGATATTAAACTTCAGGTCTATTCAGTCCGTAGTTTTGTGCTGCTCAGTAGTGAAGGCTCACAATATTTTTGTACCAATCAAGAAAACAATTTAAAATGGAAGTTGAGGATCCTAGCGGCTCTTCTGTTGAGGAGTGGCTGGTTAATTTACTTAAGACAGCAGCTTGCACAAAGGAAGAAAAAGATAATGTAACAGCTTTCACAGTGCTGACCTTCTTTGGAGAGTTAACCTTCGTGCTCACAAATAGTTATCTGAAAAATTTCTAAGGTAGGAATGGAAATAACAGCGATTGCATTACCTACATCCCGAAGGTCAGAGGTTCAGATCACTAAGGCAATGAAATTCAGTGAGCTGCTGCAGATCCATTAGCTTTGTCAGTTTTCATAAGCACACCTACTTCAGGCATGCAATTATAACATAAAGGACCTCTGTTGGTGAAAATGCAGCAGCCAGATCCTCACAGAAGAATTCCAGTGTCAGAGGAGGGGCTTGAGCCTACCTATGTGGCCAAGCTTTTCGAATGAGTCTGTTGGTGAGTTAGATCAAAGAGAAAGAGAGATGGGTGAAAAATCCACCAGCTGGACCTAAAATCCATTCCCGTGGGAAGACCTAGGTTGTCCCAGGGGGGTTACAGAGGGTACGTGACATGAACAATTAGCCTATGTTCTTCCAATAAAGTAGCTTAAGGGGTCCCCATGCAGGTCCCACGGATCAATAGAAATGCCAGCCTTATGAAAACCCTACACTCTACTCTTAGGTTGTTTGTGAAGACACATTCTCTGAGGACAACAGGGGCAGTATAACCAGAACCGCCCAAGCTTGGATCTCTGGTTGGTGTGCCCTGGAGATGCCTTTATTAAGAGTTTCATCCCTGGCCCATGGTGACACTTGGAAGTCATGGATCCTTCAGGACACAGGGTCTTGTGGGAGGATGTTAGGCACCAGGATCTGCACCAAGAATGAGATGTGGGGGCTCTGGCCCTCTCCTGTCTTTCTCTTTGCCTTCTGGCTGCAGTAAGGCAAATGTTTTCCACTGTCATGTGTTCCTACCATGACATTTCTCCTTCACTGCAGCCCCAAAGCAGCTGAACCAACTGACCATGAGCAGAAACCACAGGGGAAAATCAGCCTTTCTCCCTTATAAGTTGATGCATCTCAAGTATGTTGTTGCAGTGACAGAAGTCTGATATACCTACTGGCTTAAATTTACAATTAATGACACCAACTATTTGCCTTAAGTCATAATTAACATCATATAACAATGACATTTCAAGCAGAATCAAGTATCCTAAAAGAAGGATTTGTTTTCTTAGGCTCTAATACAATTTAAAGTTGCCTCAAAATGACATGATTGTTATTAACTAACCAGTGGTAACTTCACCAATTTTTATACAGCAGCAGATGATTTCTCCAGGTGGCCAACTTGTCCTTCATGACCTGAAGTGTTTTAATTAAGCCTTCACAAATCAGGTAGTTTCAACACTTGGCAACTTACTAACAAGTTTTGATTGAGCTACTCCCAGATCTCAAGTTTGAAGAATGACTGTTACCTTATTTCAAGGGTAGATGACTGTTACCTTATTTCAAGGGTAGATTTAGTTTTCTTTTTTAACCGATTAGCATAAAGATTTATCAAGAAAAAAATTAACAGATCAGATATTAAGTGCTAACCTATTAGCATTCAAGCTCTGAATTGTCAGTTATGTGGTTTCCAAGTTGTGGGAACAGTACAGGCCTACTTGTACTTCTAAGCAACTGTAAAGAAGTGTTTTAGCCAAAGCCAGGATCAGACCCAGCTGTTCTCCAGTGAGCCCAGGGAGGATGCTCGGGTATCATTCTCCTCTATGGGCTAGAACTGTGTCCAATATCAGCACTGAGGATGATTCTACGGCCCTGCTTAAATCTTGCCGCCTGGCCCTGGCCAACGAATGATGACTTAAAAGCTGAAGTAGTCCAGCTTCATGTACAAAGGTACACGGCATTGCCTGGTGCCGAAATTATTGCATGGTCAGTCCCTCCACAACTACCACCACCTATCAAGTCTCTCTAGTGACACAAACCACATCCCACATTATAAAACGAATATGAGAAGGGTGAGCCAAAGAAAAAGTATGAAGAGGGAGAGATCTTGCTTTTGAAGACTAGCATAGGAACCTTGGTCTTTTAGTTTCTAGCTTTTAATGTTCCATTTTTAATTCCTTTGGGTTTAAGACAGGAAGGAAAGCTAGATGTTTGAGTTGTTAGTCACATTCCCCTTGCTGGCAAGTGATATCTGACACCCATGACTTAAAGAGGGGAGTTTTCTTTATGGCTCACAGTTGAGTCCGTGGTCAGCTGGCTCCAGGGCAGAAAGGACATGGCAGAAGGGCTGACAGAGGACAGCTGCTCTCCTCACGGCAGCCAGGAAGTGGGGAGAGATGGAAGGAGCTAGGGAAGGAGCTACTACATGCCCTTCTGGGCCATGGCTCCAGCAATCGCCTTCCGACTAGCCTGCCTCCTGAGAGCACATTCACCGATGAACCTGTGACCCAGTCAGTCCCAAGAATCCCGCCACCGATTACTTGAGGCCCAGGGGAGCTCACTCCTGACTAAACTGTGGAATAGGAGGGGCTTTCTTACTTGGCGTAGCCCATCTCACATCGATGGCTGTGTGGTTGAGGACGGTCACAGTGATGTTGGCGCCTCTCTCTGGAAGACCGGCTAACGTCGTCACCACTGCTTCTGGGCTTGGTGTGAAGCCCACGCTGTTGTGTACAAAGAGCTTGTACTCGTAGGTTGTAAACCTAAAGGTTGTTGTGTTTAAGAAAAGAAGGCACTTAAATTTTTATTTTACAGAAAACAAAATACATTATTTTCTTTTTCCTCACAAAATAAAGAGGGTAATGGGGGAAAGGATATGATCATTGTCTTGTATGCATTCATAAAACTGTCCAATATTTTGTAAAATTAAAATACACTAATAACTATATTATCATATATATATATCAATATATATATATATATATATATATATATATATCTCAAAATATAGCATTTCCTTTTTACCTTCCATAAAGCGCTTAGTTCCCTTTCCCTCATAGATATTACAATACTTTCTTTTTCCTCCTTACACATAAGGTATCAATAGTGTTGTAAGCTTCCAGCCTTAACCAAGGTGCTGGGAAAATATCATTTTAAGAATGATAAGCAAATATCTGTCTGTAAAGCAAATATGGCTTACTGTTCCATGCTCTTATGGCTTGCAGAAGTGGGGAGGCTAAGGCTCCATTCAAGAGGCAGCCACATGCCTGGCAGCCTCCAGCTTCCTATCTGCATTTAATCTGGACAGTTGTGTGCTCTCCTTTTGGGAAAGCCATCCCATTGCAGTATCAGAACCTCTTGTCACCATTTTCTTCCTCTACTTTAACTTCCTCCTCCCGATCTCATTGGCAGGCAACTAAGCCGCAAATAAACCTGCACCTGTGACGAAAGCGTATGACATTCTCTTGCTGAGAGCTTTGCCCTAGTGAGCTGTGTGTGGCACGGTATGGATGTGTTCACGGGGTCATTAGAGGGGACACTGAGGTCACTTTTCAGAAAGAGAATTGAGGAGGGAAGGCTTTCCACGTGACACAAGGAAGGCTTTCCACATCCTGTGCCACACCCTTTTGACTCATTGAGGCAGAGCTGGGCAGGTATCATTTGCTTGGTCTAACTCTGCCTATACAGGAAAATGCTGTCTATAGAAGCAGTCAGGGATGGAAAGACAGTGACTCTGATGGTGATACTTGCTGTAGCACCCTGAGCAACAGGTGACCACCGAGTGGAGACACTGGCTGCAGATTATCAGTGCCTAATGGGAACCCAGCACGGGATCAAGCAATCCTACCCTCCTTTGCCTCAAAAGCTGAGGCACAGTATATGGGCCCCACCACTGCCCCAGATGATGCAAAGGTGCAGGGCCATTTATAGTGTGTAAGCAAGAACTTCAAGAGAAGGATGCTCAGCGCGCCTGCTGTCACCTAGGCAGACGTCTGCTCACCTTGGCCTGCTGCCCTCTCGCCACTGAGGCAGGTTTCCAGGGATTGGGCTCAGCTGTATGTAAGGATGTTACTTGCTCTTGTAGCTATTGTGCTAAAGACCCCGTGACTGCTGGTGGTTTCCTGCCCATTTCTTCCTCTTGAATAAATGCAAAGACTTCACCTTCTACTTAATCCCCTTCATCATCTCTTCTCAGTGTTTAGTGTTTGCTGTTTTTTCTGTTTCTCTTCTTTCTCCCTCTCTCCTTCCCTTCCCCCCTTTCTCTCCCTCCCTCTCTTTCCCTTTTTCCATTTCTCTCTCTATTTCTCTCTGTGTATGTGTGTGTTTCTCTCTGCCTCTCTATCTCGGTCTCTCTCCTTCTCTCCCTCCTTCTCTTTCCCTTGCATATTCTCATGCAGAGTTGTGTGTCTGCCCTAAAAATCTTATGCTCTGGTACCTGAGGGTCTGACCTTATCTGGAAATAGAATTTTTTTTATAAATTAACTTTCCCCTGAATGTTAATTGTGTTTTCTAGACACGTATTGAAGTACTGAAGAACGCACTATTTAAAACCCTGTAGAAAACAGCTTTTAAATCTGCACTGTAAACAAATAATTGTATTAGTCTATAGTGCAGTCTGTCAAACAAATTGTTTGAAGTCCTATTTAGAAATGATGTATTATTGTAATTGGGACTGTCATTCAATCTTCTTCTCCATAGCAAGTGGTAAACTTTTTTCTGCTGTAGACTATATATATATATATATATATATATATATATATATATATATTCATTTCAGGTTCAGTTGTTATTACTCAAATTAGAAAACTAAATTCTGTTTCGATGATGCAAATTTTAACATTTACTGAACATACAGTTTTATAAATGGGTGAACATATGTTTCCTAGTCATTGAAGCTCTCAATCTAAAACATTTTGAGTCATATATAATCTGATAAATTAGTGAGACAAAAATCTTTCCAAAAGAGACATGATCCCTAGCAAAACTTACCAAAATTCTTTTCTGAAAAAGTATGTTTAACACAAATTATATTGTTCTTTCATGCTTGGTGTATCATAGCTTCATTCATTTGTTCATTCGAAGGATATTTACTGCATATTAACAATGTGCCAAAGACCAACCATAACAAACTTGATCTCTCAAATAAAATGCTCTTTATCCTCTAGAACATATACAGATTTGTGGAAATATATTTTGAAATTAGAATATCTAAAATTTTATTCATTTATTCCTCTTTGCTTTGAACACACTTCAAACAGAGCTTGTAGTAATCTCACCTCTTCAGGAAAGTCTTTGCAGAGGAAGTGACATTTGGGGCAGGGTTAGGTGGCAGGTAGCATTTGGCCGAGCAAGGACCCCTGTGTCATGAGAGACTTTATTCCTGGCTAACCTTCATGTAGGTCAGTTCTCTGAATGGGCTGGTGTGTTTAGGAAGATGACAAAATTCTGCAGTGTAGCTGCAGAATGCTCCACGTCATTTTCATCAGAACTGAAAGTGTGCTCACTTAATTGACACCTAATGGAATTTACGTCTCCATTTTGCCACAAGTACAAATCACACTTCTGAAGATTCAGGCTCATTCACTGCTCCTTCCCTCCCCTTGCGTGTTCCTTACACTGGCCACCACGCCAAGTGTGCCTGAGCCTGACCACATGAGGGAGGGTTTGGGAAGCCTTCTCCTCACCTCTTGCATCAAATGCAGAAGTAGACAAATAAAAGGCAGGGCTGCTCCCCGCTGCAGTCTGCAGTGGTTAAAACTGTCTTTGACTGCAGGTGCACGGTGACCTCTTATTGATCCTAAAGGTATTACCAAGGGTGTCTGCTCTTGGATTGAAGAGTGAGGTTTATCACACTGGAACAGGCTTATAGCATGATACTTTTCAGATGGCAAGAAGGGGCTACTACTGTGTTTCTGGAGTCCTTCTTCCTACACTGCCGGAGGGCCACACCTCCAATCGCTGTAGGATCATTTCTGTCTTAGCTTTTCCTTGTCATCAGCATGACCAGGAAATGCAAAGGAAGATATTTTTGAAAGAAAAAACTGAGAGGAGACATCTTCTCTGATAGCCTGCATCTTTCTAGACTTTTTGTGAGGCAAGCTGTAACATGGCAGCACTTAGAAAGGACAACGCAACCAAAGTTCAGACCAAGAAATGCACATCTGTCAGTGAAGGATGGCTCTGTAACTCTCCTTATTTGAGTTAATTTGTACGTGGCATGGGCACCTTTGGGCTCATTTTCAGGTAAGCATACTGCTATCAGTTTTCATTAAAGGCCCAACTTTTCTTCCCAGTTTGAGATGAAGGAAAAAACGACTAGGATTGACTTCATCTTGGAAGCCCTGGGCGGAGACTGTCTCTCCTCTGACCACAGCTCGTCCAGTGAGCACTTCCTCACCAAACGGCTCCGGGTGGAAGCAGAGTGGAGCACAGAAGCTCACACACTGGGACTGTCCTCGCCTTTCCTCAGCAGCAGAGCAGGCTCTGTTCCCTGTACACACCTCGTCTCATTGTGAAGGAGCAGGATCAACTTGCATTCCCTTGGATTTCTTCTCCCACGGAAAAGCCTCCTCTTTCAGCAGGTGAAGTGTTTCATTGTAGTGCATTTAAAAATACATTAGACTCTATGTCAATAATATTTGAACTTCAGCTTACCATCTATTAGTGTAAGCATTTAAATCTTAAAAAACAAGGACTGGCGAGATAGCTCAGCAGATTAAGCACCTGCTTAGGCAAGGGCAGGGACAGGGTTCCATCCCCGGTCCCACGGCACCGCCCCCAAGGTGCGCTGAGCTGGCCACGGAGTCCGGGCATGGTGGCACATGCCTGTAATCTCAGCTCCGGGGCAGCTGAAAACAGGAGGATCACTACGAGTCCGAGCTGCATAGTGAGACCCTGCACCAAATACATAAAAATAAAATACAGTAAAATAAATCTTAAAAACAAGTTTCACTCTTCTTTGAAAATAAGATTAAATATATCAGTGTTGAATGTTTTCATTTCTTTTTGTGGCATTTCTTTGGCCCATATATTTTATAAAAATGACAATGGAGTGAACAGATTTCTGAGGAACCCCATGAAGGTCTCTATCCAACTGTCATTGCACAGTAAAAGCACCCGAGAATAATCTGTAAATAACGAAAGGAACGGGGAATAGAATGTCTCCCTTCAGAAACGCAATGACAGCCAAGTTACGATCGTCTAAAAGCCAGTTTATTCCTTTAATAGGAAAAATTTGTATTATCCCTCGTACGTGGTTTTCTTTCCTTTAAAGACAGAGGAGGAAGGGAGCTGCAGTGTTCTGGGCTTCCTGCAGTTTTATCTGATCACCGGGAGCCCAGGCGGTGCTGGGAGCTGCACATCGTGAGCGGAGATTGATGTGTGGCACAAGGAGGTTCACCGCCCTCTTGTTAAACCTGCCCCACTCGCGTCCACAGCCTCAGACGATAACGGCACGTTCGCCAGATTTTCCGAGTGATGAAAATGTCAGCACTTCCAAAGTTATGGTTCCCTCAGCAACCATAACTTGGCCACTTTGCACAGAATTATGGAGGAAGAAAAGTTAGAAAGTGACAAGTAGGATAAACCCGCAGTCGCGCTGAGTCCGCGCTACACAGGGAGCAGAATTCAGCAAGGAGGCAACTGGCTGTGCAATTCAGACAAAAGCTACCCCTTGTGCGAGATGAAAATAAGTCTTTTTCACTCGAACTAAATTACCCGGATAATGGGCTCAGTATTCCAATTTGCACAGATATAAGAAGAAAAAAAAAACAACTTAGAGTGATCAGAAATCCAGGATGTAGCAGTATGTTGGATTAAATTGGCGTGTTTTTCTCTGTGTTATAAATACATGCTCCTGGCCAAAATACACAAGTTAAATAGGGAACTTGACTTGACTTTTACTCACGCTCATAAGTACATTTATAAAAGATGCCCAGCAAGTCTTACGTTCGTCTTACCTTCTCTATCAAGAGAACTGTCACCTGAAAGCTGATGCTAAACAGCCACGCTGATGAAAAGCCAACGTGGCAGGAAGTCCTGCAATGCTATCTTTGTTTATAAAGATGTAAGTTAAGAAGTAAATAGGGATTGTAAGAAACCAGGGAGAACAGGGAACAATACAGCCCTCCTAAAATTATTAGAATTAAGTTAGACATGAAGTAGAGACAGTCTAACAGGCAATCAGCAAGATAAGCACAATCCCTTTACGTATCCTTGAGTCAAGAATCCTCAGATTCAACCAACCATGGATGGAAAACATTTGGAAATTGCAGGTGTTACAACAGGTTGGCTATGGTCCTCTTGCTTCCCTAGACAATCTGACCTAACAACCATTTGCCTTGCGTCTACATTGTACTAGGTGCTACAGTCACCCAGAAATGATTTAGAATATAGGGCATCCAGGGCAAGGGAGATGACAAGCAAACACCACACAAATTCAGCACAACACTAGCGCATCATGGATTCTGATTTTGCAGGGCCGGGGGGTGGGGGCGGCTGTCCAAGGAACTAGCACCTCCGCAGGGTGGGAGGGGATGGGAGGGGCCAAGAAGGCGCTGTGCCCCCATCGGGCACGCTGAGAACTGGCTGCTGTCGCGGTGAGTGAAGCAAGCACCTGCCACACAAGGCCACTTCCTCTAAGCAGAGCATCACAGTGTCCACCTGTGTACCAATTCCAGTTTCATCTGGTTTTGAGATGCATCCCTTGGGGGAGAGGGACCCTGAGCATTTTTGAACGTGGGAAAGGTGGAAGACGAGAGACAGTCTTTCTTCCAATATGAAGACTTGTGCATTTATTTTGAATGCCAATATATAACTACAAGCAATTTATAAGGGAGGTAGCAATTGCTTGCATAAAAGCCAAAAATCTTCTCCAGTTTTAGCGAGAAAAATGAATCCTTTGACAATCGGCATGGCAAGAGTACCAGAACGCTCCCCTTCGCAGGACAGGACCACTGACATTTGCTTCGAGGAGCAGTGTCCAAGGTGCGTTGATTTGTACTCACATTGCAATTTTAATTTAATGTGTGGGAAATTTATTTGTTATTTTCCTAAATCTTAGATTTGGACCTGAGCCACATAGCAACATGCTATTTCAGAAAAATGAACAGAAAAAACCAAAAGAGAGCTTGGAGGAATGAAGAAAATGCCCCGAGGCTGGGAGGTTGCCAGCCAGCAGGTCGCCACCCGCCAGGCCCTCCTCCAGCAGGCAGCAGCCCGGCTCGGGCCTCGTGCACATTTCTTTTCTGCCTTTTTTTTTTTCCCGGAACCGGGGATTGAACTCAGGCCCTTGTGCTTGCCAGGCAAGCGCTTATTCTACCAAGCCATCTCCTCTGCCCCTCGTGCACATTTCTCAGCTTCTCCGACTCGATCCTGTGAACTAGATGATTTTCTGTTTTGCTTTGTTTTGTTTTTGGTGTGGAATGAGCCAATGACTTCTATGAACTGCTTCCCAGAAATTGCAAGCATTTTATAAATGCGTGGTGACTTCCACAGTTTGCATATCTTTCACATTTCCAAAGTCTCCTCTTAAGTGTCAGGTCTGGATAGAGCTGTGACAAAGGCAGCAGGTTATGGCTCAAACATCTACTCGGGGACTTCAAAGGGTCTTTTCAGCACGCAGTTAAGATGGCAAACATTAAGCATGCTGAGTGCTACAGGCCGATGATTAATGCCACAGATAATAGCCGAGCCTATTCTACGGCATGGCTGATAACGCACTCACACAATGAAGATGCCCCGGTACTCTGAGCAAGTCAACACGCCCCATGCTAAGTGCCAGCATTTGTTTTTATGGTTTTTGTAATCTCACCTGCTAAGACCCTTATCTTCATGAAACCACTGAGTTCCTAAATAAATATTGTGCCACAGATTTAAATCTTCTGGGGGATTTGATGCAAGTGGTTGCTGGATTTTGCGTCTCACAAGCTCATATCTAAAAGCAAAAGACAAGCAGGAACATCAGGATTATCTTGACTAATGTTATTACTGAAATTCAGATTGCTTTGTGGCATGTGTGTGTGTGTGCGTGCATGCGTGAGAGAGAGAGAGAGAGAGAGAGAGAGAGAGAGAGAGAGAGAGATAAATGCAAACATAAGGAATAACATCTTAACTTTCTGGTTATGGAGTTTTCCCAGATAAACACCATTTTCCTGGCTCAATTGTCCTATATTCAGCTAACTGCAAACAAGCAGCTACTTTCCCATTTTGTGATCACCAGTGAGAATGCTAACATTTCAGATTTTTTTCTATTCCACGTTTGCCAAACATTTACTGCCCATTTCACACAAAGTAGAAATACAAAAAAGCTTACTGAGTTAATGATTTCCTATGACATCTACCATCAATGCTTTATAAACAATGATAAAATTATCAGCTCTGCATTCTTGGCTGGGAGCCAAGTTCAGGCCGCTCACCAGCCATTGTAGACTCACAGCTCCTTTCTTTCATCTTATCTGCATCCCCGACCACATTCTTTGCAAGTTTCCAGATAATAACACTGTGTCAAAGCATCGCAGGGTGAGCTTTAGACTTCTGAGGCATGTTTGTACAACTGTATCACACAGGACGTGCAGCAGGGTTGCTAACAGACTAAAACTCTCTTGCGGAAATCAGGAGGATTATGAAATGAATACTTAGAAGAGTACTTTGGAAGCTTTTTAGGTCCTCAATATGAGGATGTTGTGTCTGCCTTCATGAATTAGGCCCTAAGAAGGCAGCATAACGCTGAATGACTAGAGTTAGTTCTATGCCCAGATGGGAGGAAGCTCCTTTCTACCTTTTTGGCAGGGGCGGGGCCACGGCAGGCTTCAGAAGTACAGTATATTTCTCTTACCGCAAATTCGGTCCATTAGGCTTGGATGGTGGCTGCCAGGAAACCCGGACATAGGACTCACTCAGTGGAATCGCGGACAAGGGACTGACACCCTGAGGTGCAGCAGGGTGTGTGGTCACCAAGGTAGGCAAGCTCTCTGTGCACCCACCTAGGTACCCACTACCCCCCGAGCAGGCCACAATGGTGACAGAATAATTGGCGAAGGCATCCAGGTGAGTGAGTACTTGACGGGACCCTGAGGGGCTCACGTCGGTTACCGTGATGTGGGGGTCGGGCATGCGGATCTCATAGCGCAGGATGTCACCGTTCTGCACAAGTGGAGGCTTCCAAGTGACCTGAGGTGAAAGATCAACTTAGCGTTAGTGTGGCAAGACAGGAATAGAGCAGCTACAGTTCCCAAGGCCCGGAGTCACTCTGACTTCGGGGAAGTCATTTTCTGGACGCCGCCACAGTCCTTGCAGTAGACAGTAATGAAAGGTCTGGGATCAATTAGCAGGAACCCAGGGACTAAAGGAAGTGCTGCGTCCTGAGCTCGGCCCTCAGGCTTGTGACTTTCTAGGACTGCCAGCCTGATACACACCACATGATTCATCTCCACAGCGGGCGTTCTGAAGGACACGGAGCAAACGCGTGGAGAGCGTTCGCACATCCACGCACACCCATCGGGTAGCAGCAGGACTTGCGCATGCTCTTGTTTATAACTCAATTATATGAAATGCCAGAATCCCTTGTGCACACTGCTAGTATACACACTAAATTAGTCACTTTCTTGAAGGGTGAGGGAGAGAAACCATTATCTGTATTTTCCAAGGATGGACAGTTATGTTCTGAATCTCCTTGTGCATAATTTAGCAAGCAAAGCAATACCACAATATCCTATTTGTAGTAATGAGAAACAGAAGAAACTTTTAAAAAGGGAACTGTTTCACTAACTCAGAGTCTTGAGTGGACTAGAATCCTATCTGAAGTTTCTTCTGGCTAAATTTTGCAAGAGCACGGTGACAACACACTTGTGATTTTGTCGAGGAAAAAGTATCCTCCAAACACATGATAGGAAACTGTAAAGCACTTGTTTATATGCAGTCCATTTCATCTCTTCCTGTTTTGCAGTGGGGTAGGGTCTAGGATTCTCTTCCTAGGGCCAGCCAAATAGCTCAGCGGTTAAAGCACCTGCAAGCAGGCCCAGGGGCCTGGGGTTCGATCCCCGGGCCTGCCGTGCCAGCCCTGCCCCCACGGTATGCTGAGAACATGATTGAGACCGGGTGTGGTGGTGCGTACCTGTAATCCCAGCACTTGGGAGGCTGTGAACAGGAGAATTGCTAGTCCAATCTAATAGTGAAACCCTGAACACCCTGTAGGCCCTACCCCAAAACACAGAAAAAATAAAATAAAAGGAATTCTTTTCCCAAATAAACTTTAAGCCTAACTGATATACTCTTCCTTGTCTCTCTCTCACACTCAGAAGCGGGGTTCAGTCAACAGTCTTAGTCATAGCTTCCTAGATTTTATTTTTTCCTTAGTATGCAGTTATTTTGAAGCAGTAAAAGAGATTTCAGCAGGGTTGTGCCTCTCCATGCATACACATTGAATAGTATAAAAAAATCAAAATCAGAAAGAAATAATTTTGGCAGAACAGGTTAAATTTTTAATTTGAATGATAGATTTTCACAGGAAAATAAAATAGTACTTTCAGAGAACATTATCAAATGATATCTTACATCAAATAGGAAGTATTTATCCTAGATGGAGCTTGACCTAAGATCTCTATAATCATGTTCAGGTTGATAACTGATAATAAAATGGGTTTCTAGTTCATAAGAGTTGGGCAGTGGCTTGATGATTACTGGGAAAGGTACAACAGCAATGCACAAACATCTATCCCAATTTTGCTTTATGTGTTGAAATCACTGTTAATCTGAAAAAGCACCTTTGTGACAGATGCTGGGGCGAAGAGACATGTTCGATGTGTTTCTTATGAGCCAAGTGGACTGCACTCTTTGCAGAAATGGCCAGGGAAGTCTAGAGCAGGCGACACGGTGGAGCTAACACATGCTTCTGCTTGTCTTGAGGGCACAACACCCCGCGTGCTTTTGGAAAATGAGTCGAGAATCAAGGTCAAGCTTGGGGGCCTCCTAGTGCTTGGACCACAAATGCAAGGCAAAGGCTGTCGTAGTCTGTCTGCGACTGATTTGAGAAATTCACAACTCCTTGCCTCTCAAACCAGAATACTGAAAATTCAGGTCAGAGTTTGGCAACACTTGAAAGAATGAAACCTTAGGAGATAGTCTGTGTTAGTAGTTGAGCTAACAGTGAATTGATTTGGAACTTGGCATCGAGGCTGAGAAAAGTGCGTTCATAAGATAAAACCTGAATAAGATATCTACCAGTAGAGATTAAGAGATTTTGTGTAATAGCTCTGGAGACAGGCAGCTGAAGATCTAAAAGAGCCTGTTTTTTCTACTATCAGTGTTTACCTTCAAAAATTAGCTATTTATCTCATTTTCTAAAAAGTTACAAACTTAGAAAAATTTATCTTTTCGGCAGCCACAAGTTAGAAAAGAATGAATCCATTTCTATAGAAAATTATTAGAAGCGCTGTATAAAGCAAGCTTTTAAACAATGTAGAAGACACAGCCATTAGAGCCAGGAGACTGACCGACCCAGTGTCCGATTTTACCACCCTCCTGAAAATTCCTGCAGCCATTATTAAAAATAAATATCCAAAGTTTTTAAAGAACCAGTTAGGCTAGCTACATCTCAGATTCTACGCTTTCTTATGGTAAAGGCCAGAGTTACTCTAGAGGGGGTCAAGAGATGAGATAAAATCTTTCTATCAGTGTAACTTCCTGTTCTGTATCCATTGTACCTACAGAGGATTTTAAAATATTGTTGATGCCCCCAAAACTCAGACCAAAAAGCACAATGTTGACATCTGTAAGCAAGATATGAATCTTCTAAGACACAGATTTTATGTTGATTTTTAAAAAAAATTATTTTGTACAGGGTCTCACTTTGTGGATCGGACTCAATTCTCCTGTTTTTAGCCTCCTAAGCGCTGGGATTACAAGCTTTGCCACCATGCCCAGTCTCAATAGCCATCTCAGTGTCCCCAGGGGTCAGAGCCAACACAGCAGGCTGGGATTGAACCCCCACCACTGCGCTCTGCCTAAGCAGGTGCTTTAGTCTGCTGAGCTATCTGGCCAGCCCCATTATGTTCAAAATTTAAATTAGAGTTAATTTTCCACTGGAAATAAAATTTATTTCAGAAATGGCTTGCCTATCAAAGTGTTTGATTTGTGTGGCACTGAGGTGCTGAGGTTTCCAATTCTCTATCTAGCGTTTAGGACTTGTTAGGAAAAAAGAAGACACAGAGCTACATAGTGAGTTGGGCATCTAAGGAGCCACCAATTTTTCCCAAGTCTTTCTAGCCCATGAGGAGCAACTTTCCAGAATCCTGCTACCTACAAGGAAACAAAGATGTTCAGGTTAGCTGATTGACCACAGAACTAGGAAGGGCCACATGCATAAATCCTAAGAGCATCTTCCTTCGTCCCTTCTACAGTTCTATTAAATTCTATTTAATAACTTTATACATAGGAGCATTTATGAAACTGATGGAATGAGTTGAGTATGGGGTAAAAATGCTTTCCCAATATTTAATTGAAACTATGCCATTACATCTGTGTTACATTGAGGAAAACACTTAACCTCTCTGGACCTTCGTAGTCTCAGGTAAACAAGAATGGACAACCCTTACCATTCATGTTGAGAAGTAGTTCTAAGAGGACTTGTTCAGCAGAAGATACTGTGGAGCAGAGCGAAGAAGGACATGCAAATGTTGTCATCTCGACAGCAATTCTGCCTAATAGCAGACTCTGGCAAAACTCTGCAGAGATTAAGCTGGGCAACAAATAGTTTTGGAGCATGCCTATAAGCCCAGCACTCAGGAAGCTGAGGCAGGAGGGTACTGCAAGTTCTGGGCAAGCCTGGGCCACAGAGTGAGTTTAAGGTCAGCCTGAACCACATAGAAACAACTTGTTTGAAATTATTTTTAAGTTTTGAAATAAAGTTAAAGTTATCCTTTAGCTTTCTTTAATATTATCCAAAAAAGTTCATTTCCAACCTGTCACATGAAAACTTGCTTTCAAAACCAAACAGATGGGGCCTGGGAGATGGCTCAGTGGAATAAGCACTTCCCTGGCAAGTACAAGGGCCTGAGTTCAATCCCTGGTTCTGCCAAAAAAAAAAAAAAAAAAAAACAACAAATAGATGATGAGATTTTGCATTTGCTGCTGTTGTATAACATCCTTTTCGTGATAGAAAACTAATTATTCAGTTATTGTCCTGTTGCCTTAACTTTATTGCTAAAAATAATTTGCAAAGCCATGCGATACGCATCATTGTATTTGTTTTGTATTGGCTATACTACCAAGGACTGCTTGATAAATGATAAATGTGTGCTTAGTTTTAATTATTAGTGATGAGTTAGAGCCTGAAGAGCTGCAGGAAGCTACTTTGTCACGACCCAGATCTCCACAAATGTTTAAGATTACCAGTTTTAGTCTCTGCCAATTTTATCCATTTCCTTAATTAATTTGTATTTCCTTGACATTTTGGCAAGTGTAATTTCTTTTAGGTATTATTACTTCTATAATGCCTTATTTAAATTATGTTGGTCTTAAATTATCTTTTATTATAAACTATGATCTTTTATCTTATGGAGAATTATCTGTTTGTTTCTAATCTCTCATGTGGTGTATTTTCTCAGTCCATCTCTTGTACTCTGGGAGAAACCACTGAATTCTTTCTACCATGGAATTATCCTTAACAGGCTACTGAGTCTTTTTTTTTTTTTTCTCACATTCAGATTATATAAAGTGCTCTTTAATTTTTGTGGGCTTTCTATTTTTTATTTTTTAAAAACATTATTAGGGCTGGTGAGATAGCTCAGTGGACTAAGTGCCTGCTTGGGCAAGCGCAGGGCCTGGGGTTCAATTCCCAGCACCACATGCCCCATGGGCCTTGCCCCTGGGTGCTCTGAACCAGCCACCTAGACTGGGCGTGGTGGCCCATGCCTGTAATCCCAGCAGTGGGGAGGCTGAAACAGGAAGATCATTATGAGTCCAATCTGCCTAGTGAGACCCCATACCAAAAACATTAATAAATAAATAAATTTAATATTTTTTACATTATTTATTTATTTGGTACAGGGTGTCACTAGGCAGCTTGCAGTAGTAGCGATCCTCCTGCATCACCCTCCCAAGTGCTGGGATTGCAGGCGTGCACCGCCATGTCTGATTTCAGGGCGGGCAAGGCATGTGGTATTGGAGATCGA